CTTTCTTCATCATCAAGGTGTCGGAGGGAAGTGACTCTGTAAATATTTAATTGGCTGCAGCATGCCGATGTTAATTATGCGGGTGTGTCTTTCCTTTGCTTTGCTCTCTGCCCCAGTGTCACTGACTATGTCCTCACACTTTTTTCTTATCTTCATATGCTACTCTATCACTCCTTCTCCTACTGCTACTACAACTGTATACCTCTTGCCACTGCTTCTGTTGCTGCTGCTATTCAACACCTTGTAATTCTAGATTCCACTACAGCTTTCCTCATTCTCAATCACGTTTCTTTTCAGGACCTTACCTCACCCTGGCTATCTATTTTCACCCCTCCCTTCCAACCTTGTGATATGCCTTTCTCCTTTCAATTTCAAAACCATGGCAGCCTCCGTTAAAACGGATTATTGTTATGGGTTTCATTATAGCCTCTGCTGTTATCCGTCCTGACGCCAATCATGCTCTCAGAAGTAGCTTTCCCTCCTCTCTGTGTTTATTTGATCGTCAAGGGCAATGCAAAATGGATGAACAGTACAAAGACAGCCTTGCAAGGACTACGCAGGCTAAAGTTGTACAGCTCAATAGAGCTCTACTCATAAGTGTCTGCCAGTAGCAAGTGCAATTACAAACAGGCGCATGTAAAAGTCAAGAGAATACAAATCACATAATAGATGTCTCGTGGGTACTGAGCAAGCAGCCTTGCAACGCTTTTACAGACAAAAGACACAATGCACGAGAGCACAGAGACAAAAACACTGGACCACAAGTGGAGGGAATTATATGAATCTCTAGCTATGGGCCAGCAATAGATAAAGTGTTATCCACAGATGAGCAAAACAGATTTCTGTTTTTGCAGGGTGTATCACAGCTGAATATAGGTGCTATAGGTGAATAAATGGTCTGCTAGGCCAATGTTCTCGTGTGTAATCCCTCAGGCATGTCCATAACATTTTATTCTCTTATAAATGCCAGCCAAATCTAGACCCGAGTCTCAATACTGTGTGCAGACAAAGGCTTTAGGGGGGTCCTTTGGACAGCATACAAGTATATATGTGTGTGCGTTTATGGTATGGCGATGGGGGGTTCCATTTTTGTGCCAAAACAGCAGGTCATAGCAAGGACAAGAGATACCAGTAGCCAGGAGAGACTGTATCGGTTATAGTCAACAGTGAGCAGGGAAATTCAATATGCTGGTGTTCACACTAGCACCAGGGGCCACTGCACTGTTCACCATCAACACTGCTCTATGTGGTTATTTATCATTTCTCTATTCATACTCCAGCCCAGTAGTGCTTTATATAGGCTTTCTTCCTGATAAACATATCCATTGTTGTTTTAGTAAAGTAGTGCAATAAAGCAGTAAAGTAAAAAGCTTTCTTTTTGAATTCACATTGTTTGTGTGTTTCCACATTTGGAGTCAGCACGGTTGCAGTTGGTTTAAGCTTCCCTGTTGGCGAGCTGTCTCCTTTCTAGAGTGTGAATGGGCAAGACTCCTGAATCCTCCTGGTGGGTGCAGTTCATTGGTCTGCATGCTGAGCCCCAGGAGGGAGCAGAGAAAAAGCTGAATTTGAGATAGGGATCAATAAAGCCAAAAGTAACCCAGAAATTGTGAAGTGAAGTCTGAAGATTCTGTTTTGGCCGTGCAGCAGCTCACTGCTGGTTGCACTCTGGACACATTATTGTTCTGTTTGATCATGTCCGTTGTGTTTGGCTGACAACGTTTGAATTAATTGCCTGAAAGGGATAAATAATGTGGATCACATCAAAGGGTGGGAGACACATGCTGTCATTCAGCCAGATGATGTTTACATTTTGTTGTTTTACACACTCCCACTCTCCCATTAATGAGATGCAGATGCACACTATATTATTTATCTGTAGAAGCAATAACCATTTTCTGCCATTTATAACAGTATTTTATTTTAATGCTTTGGCAATAGGATTTCAGTGTGCAGTACTCTTCCCAAAAATTTAATTTTGGGCCTTAAAATGTCATCTAGCATGGAAACTGAAAAAATGTGATGACGACATGTTTGTCATTTAATCTTTTTTTAAAAATGGTCATTATCAGATGATGCTTTCAAACAATAACATTGTAACTGTTATCTACCACAAAGTATGTGTTTTTAACCAATTTAGCAGCATGGCCCTAGGGATGGCAGGTGGTGCACCAGTTGTGTCCAGGCTAAATATCTCAGGAACTATTGTCATTTCACTGTCATGAAATTTTGGTACAGATATCCATGGTGCATATAACTATAAATCAACAGGTAGTTCTAGGCATAGAGCCAGTCGACTTTCCAGAGGGCCTGGGTTGTATGCATTGTGGTCTGTATGAGGTTTCTGATATTATCTTGCTGCCAAAACAAAGTAGTCCAGCTGTCAAGTAAATATGAATATATTATTAAGTCTTATTAAATGATTTGCTAGCAAGTTGGAGGAAAAAAAGGAAGCATGAACCCCAGCATTGTCCTGAGGACAGAGGTGGTCTCCCATTTCTTACATACAGATGCTGGTCCTGTTTGTTTGTTCTACACAAGCTGCTGATTTCCAAAACATTTTCATTTTTGGTGATCACTTTAACCTGTACCAAGGTCAAAGCAACACGTGCACTGTACACAGAGGTCAAAAAAGGTTACACAGTAGTGGGTGGGTGCATATATTAGAGGGAGTGGATACATAGTTGTGTGTGCATGTTTCTCCGTGTGTCTAAATTAATTCACATTTGTATTTTCCATGAAGAATGTGAAATGAATCTTTGCTGTGTTCTTCACAATGAACTCAGATGAACCTTTATCTCGGCTTGTTTGGCTCATCGATGAGTGTGTTTGCGTATGCCTGTGTAAACTGCGTCTGTAATTGATCCTCTGATTTAGTGTGTGAGAGGAAGTGCGAGCCGAATGTGTTGACCTGGTTAACATGTTGTGCGGCGCCTGGCAGTGGAGGCAGCTTGATACAGGTTTTAGAATGCAAGGTGCCAATCGAGCTGTGAAAATGGGAATTGAGTAGGGAAATGGGAATAGCTCCCTGCTGGTTTGTAACCTTCGCAATGTTGTTTGGGGCATTCAGCGTATGCATTCATCATTCATTCAATCAAAATGTGTGTGTCGCGTGTGTGTCCCTGTGGTTACATTATGTGATAGGGAGGGTCTTTTCTCTATGCGTGTGTCTGTAATTGCATGTGTGGGGTAGTGTGCATTTATGACAGTATGTCACACCCATCTCCAAGCCCCAAGCCCTGGAACTGAATTGAATTAAACTAAATAAAGTCTAGTGTGTAGAGTACAGAGCACTTGAAAGGGAACAGCTGAGGGCTTGAGCTGAGGACTGTCTGAGTCTAAGACAGGAAGCAATAGCACAACGATGCTATGCAACATTACTAGCAAAACCCACAGATAAACGAAAGCTTGTGACAGTTTTTGAACATTGGACACAATGGCTAATGTGCTACTCCCCTCCCCCAAGGCTTTCAGCGAGAGTGAGAGATGAAGCCAGTTCTGGGATCCTTGGCTGGCCCAGATAGCACAGCAGCAGTGGCAGCAGCAGCAACCATTAATGCGATTACAGCTTTTAGCGGGAGATTTTCGGGGCCAGTTTTCTTTTGAGGCGTCATTAGTTTGTCCTCATTTCTTGTTCTTTTCTCCACCGGTATGTCAGCAAACAAATGTACACATTCACACCCATGAGCAACAGACAGCTGCTGTAACTGCTTATATGCGTAACCCTGAGCAGCACATGTGCACACACAATCATACACACATGAATATATAATACAAAAAGCATGAAAATAGCCTACAGAACACACAGAAAATGATACATAGATATAGATATAACAGGCATAATAAGTCTTTATTTAAAAGATGATAAATTATTATTTTGTATAGTTGGCACTTCTTAGGACAGTCTGCTATGCAGTTTGAAAACCTTTTGATTAGCAATCCATGATGTGCATTATAATTCTGAAGCCTCTCATTATTCTTTGTAATCAACCCATGATTCCACAAAGACCCTCCTTTAATTTAAAACCCACACTTCCTGTCCATTTAGTGGTGCATTGCCATCATTATTGGTCTCATCTAGCGGATTCCCATTCAGCATGCTTAGCATGTCTTTGACTTTGTGCGGCTATTTATCAAACCTTGAGGTGCTTCCTAGCTCCTCGCTTCTGCGGCTTCATTTCATAAAGTCACCATTTATTAAACCTCAAGGCTAGACCACAGCAAAATCCTACTGAGATATTGAGGTCATCTTGCAAGCAGAGGAAGAAAGAGATTATCAGGGATGGAGGGAGGACACAAGCTGAGGTATCTGGTGTCATGCTGTGATTTGGCAGAGTTTAGATGGGCAGAGCGAGGTATCTTTCTGGGGAGTGGCCTGCCTCAGTAGGCAATATCTGCCAGCATTATGAAGTATTTTGTTATCTTTGTTTGCACTCCAAGCAAGTTCACAAAAATGATTTCAAATTGTTTTAAAGTTTTTTCTTACCTGTGTCTCAAACACATCTCACAGATGCCAATTTCAAATTTCCCCTTCAACTAATAGCTCTCAGGATGTGTGTCGGTTCTTGTGTGTTGATGCTTTTGTAAGCATGTGCCTCCATTCTCTGTGTGTGTGTGTGTGTGTGTTGGTAGGCAGGATGAGCGTCCCTTCTGTTACCGTTGCTGTCCCTTCATTTCACGCTCCGGCAGCTCCGTGTGAATCCTCTTCCCTTGGCTCATTATCAGTGCTGTTCAATGAAGGCGCGTCCCACCAGAAAGCAGGGTAAAACCAAATCATTATTCAAGTATGAGGGTCAGTGCAGACATTGTGACTCTTTTGTTTTATATATTTATTACATTCCCTTCAGAAATAAGTAAGCAGAATGCTGAGCACACCCCGCCCAACCTGATTTGATGAGATAGTCGATCCTCAAGCACCTGACCCAAGATTGATGAACACCAGCAGAGCGTCTGGTGCTATTATTGGATGCTCATTGGTCTCTTCTCTCGCTTTTTCTTGGCAGGGTCCAGTGTGTGCGGAACAGAATTCGGACACCTGCCGGACAACATTACAGTGTTGGAAGGAGAAAGCGTCACTTTGAGGTAACTCTTGATCCTACACCTGCACCTACTAATTACATGAAAAACATGTTTGCCCCCCCACCTGCCATGCCGCTCTAATTGCCAATTGTCTGTCACATAACTTCAATTAGGCATCCCACATTGTGCCATATTTTCCAGCTCTGTTTATCCTAATTGAATGATAATACAGATGTCGCTGAAGCCATCCCATCTATTCGTGAGCACCTTTTCCTTTTACTTAGATGTAACAATAATGATACAAAGGTCAATTGGTTGGGTGGGCCTCCTCTGTGTCTAAACACACCTGTCTAACTATGAGTGATATCGTAGAAATCACAGCTTTGCCTGGTTCCCAACCAAGCAGAAAAACAGTCAACTTGCTTTTTCCCCTCACGTGGATGTGACCTGGCTTGGCAGTACACTCAGCAGCACAAAAAAAAATCAACGTCAACATGTCAACATTACTTTCATCACCTTTAAGCCTACACCTCCACAGATCTCTGAACAAATTTGTCTTTTAGTCCCTTTTTTCCCTTGAAAGAAGAGTTGGCCTTCCATTAAAATCAAATATGTGATTCCAAAGCCAAGCACAATTCTTTCAGTATTTGTGAACACAAACAAGTCTCAACGTTGAAAATCAATGAACCAGCATGCTGATCTATAATGTCATCAATATGTGTAGCCTCAAGGTGTTGAGACAGTTGACACTGTGGAGAAATCCAATCTATTGAGTTTATTTGGCCATTTTCACACCTAAAATTCTAAACTGATTGTACCTGGATGGTAAAATCAATCTCTTACAGTTGGGAAAGCTGTGCATTACGGTTACATTACAACCATCTCTTTCTTGTTTCTGGCTATAAACAGCAGCGCCAGCTCGCATGAATTACTGGTTCATAGAACACTAAATTTTTTTCTTGTTAGTGGTGATCCTTTTCGGTTCTTTAAACCAGAAGTTTCCAATGTTTATGACTTTTGAAACAAAAACCATGGTATGACTTGTGGCTCCTCTACACAAGCTACATACAGGTTTTGACCTGATGAGTTTGTTTTTTGAATTCTTTTTAAAAGGACAAAAAGAGATAATATTATTCAGTATCTCACAAGAGAAGACACAAAGATTAGATCAAATATACCCGTTGCAGATACATGTTTTCCTGCTTTGCTCTCCATCTCACAGCCCCTCAGGCTTGTGTTGCTTCATCAGTAGAAATGTAATGGCATATTTTGTAATCAGATGTGTGGGTAAGTTTAGTCCGTACTGGATGGGCAATAGCTGACAAACAAAAATACTAAAGAGCTTTATAAATAAACTCCATTTTCATGTAAAATCACTTTTGCCCAAGTGGCACAAATACTTGTGTTATGCTTGAGACAATGCTGTTGTGTTGGCTTTGATGCGGGCCATTAAGACAAGGCACATTTGATGCTATTATGGTGCTCATTTCCTCTGGGCTTGCAGTCCTGTAGCAACATCATCAGTGCAGAAGTGATTAATTTTTAAAAATAGATTAATAGAGTGTTTGTACACAGATAATGAATTTTTATGGTGGGATGTTTTAATATATTGTCTCTTTATTTAAACCAACCAGCAGCAAATCGAATCTTAATGAAAACTATGTTTTTTTACTTCTTTTCCTTTATTTTCTAGACTGTGAAGTTAGGAGTGGTTTGGCCCTTAAGTCATGTGTCAATCTGAACATCAGCCCAGTGCTTTGTAGACTATTTGTTAAAGACTTCCAAGCTTACCTGCACTGTGTTTGGTATGCATTGTAGTGTCACTGCCATTGACTTGGCAGGTGGTCTAAGATCTACCTCAACAGTGATATTTATCCAGGTCATATCAATTAAACATGAGGACTACAAAGGAATGCCCTCACAGCTAGTTGAAGCTGGGTAAGGACATCTAGTGGCCAAGCCAAGAACTGAAGTCATACCATTGGGCAAAGGTTCCTGTTTTGAAGCATGCTACATCTTATTGGAACAATAGTGATTTACTGTGTTTTAATCACCACACCTTTATAATATTTTTCTTTCCCATATCTGTTCTTATTTCCACATATTTTTATGTTTATTACCATTAACTTTAATCGTGAGTTTACAGATAGTTTTAGGTGACTGGCCAGTCAACATACCTCTGCATTCATTTTCAATGTTATCTTATGACAAAATAAAGGAACCCAGTTGTGAAGAGAATAATGGTAAATGACCACTTCTGATGCAGTGCTTTGCTTGTGAGCTGTTTTCTATGACTGATGTTAGACATTTCTTTTATTACTTCACCCATTTTGCTCCACCTGAGTGCCTTTTGCTCCACAAGAGTAGTGCATAATCATTTGTCCTGTGTTGCCAAGAGGTTACAGACAGATGACAAATAAAGTAAAACACAAAAAAGTTACTGGAGATTCATAACAAATGCAAATGCTTACACACAGTACTGGGCACGTGTAGTCCCCTGGAGCGTTTAACTAGTAGAAAATGATGGGAATCTTATGCAATGGCCTGTCAAGTACCTGTATTTTCACCTAATTGAACACCTACAGGAGATGTTGGAGCGACATAATTCAACACTGCTCCCCACCATCGTTGTAACACCAAAAAGGAGTAATTTTGGTAAATAAACCAAAAAGAGAGTTAAAGATCTGTAAACTAAAATCTATTCCGAGGTGCATTGATGCTCTTCTGGTAGCTTATGGATGTTCAACACTGTTCCATTTATATATCTGTAACAATTGCAAATGTAATGATAAAACACCTATCAGCAGTATTTACCATCAACCATAACGTCAAACTCTCTTAAAGCCTCTTAGGTGTTAATAACGTCCTGTCCTCTCACAGATGTCGGATCGATGAGGAGGTGACCCACAAGGCCTGGCTGAACCGCTCTAACATCCTGTTCACGGGGACAGACAAGTGGTCACTGGACAAGCGTGTGACACTGGCCAATAGTAACAACAGCGACTTCTCCATCCACATTGACAAGGTGCAAGTAACCGACGAGGGGCCCTACACTTGCACCTTCCAGGCCAATAACAAGCCCCGCATCGCCCATGTCTACCTCATTGTTCAAGGTCAGCAGATATGATGAGACAGAATAGGAAGTGTGGTATAGATGTTGGCTCATAATATAATAATATATCCAGAGTCTGCAGATTTGATTGCCTCTGCGACTAAAAAAAAGTGTGCACCCATGTTACTGTAAGCAGCCTTGAATGAAAACATCCACTAAATGGCTTAATTATGCATTTCATCATTCATCCAAGCATAGTGCTGTCTATTGGTTGTGAGGTTTGAGAAGCAATTAAGATTTTCTATGGTTACATTTCAGTGTTCCTTTTCTGTTAAATAATGCTTAAATGTATACTTAGATTGACGATAGACACCTTCGCAGTTAATGTTATTATGATGTTTAAGCATTTAAGGTTGATATTTATGGTTATATCAGAATGTAATTATTTGATTATGTCTTGAAAGCTCCGTTGGCCTGCGTGTGTGTATGTGTTTGGCTACAGTGAAGCAAGTCTAGTGCAGGTGACATATAACCAGAAAGTAATTTGCAATAAGAAGGCCAATTAGATTCCTAGCCCATTTGTTCCATGTGGCGGTTTTCTTGTCTTTATGAACAGTGTTAGGCATATCAGATGGATGAGGATGTGTGTGGAGGAGATGAGGTACACAGGGGGGGTGTCCAACTGCCTGACTAAATAACTGACAGTGCAGGACCACGACTGGGGCTCAGTCATCAAGTCAGCAGTTAAGTGAGTAAGAGTCTGACTGATCCTGAGTGACACGATATATTGGCACAGGACTGCCAAGAGATCTCAGACCTCTTCCCCCCTGCATGTGTCAATTTGTATGTATACTTTGTAATGTATGTAGTGCAGATTGCAGTTGTAGAGCACCAGCAGGATGAAACTGAAAACTTTTAACAGGACATATTATGTCCGTTCACCTGGGATGAACACAGGGCCCGGCTCACAGCTCATGGGAGGCGAAGGCAATGTCACCCGCTTACTAACAGAGTTTTCACATCGCACTGCAGCCAAACAAACAGTCTTGTCTGTAGGGTCCAAAGCTTGGCACAGATGACCATATATACCTAATTCCAAGTCACCTGCAATTTCAGCCCCAGCTTGATATCGCACACAGAAAATAATTACACCCTCAAGTCAATGCATCAAGCAGGAGCAGGTTCACCACCACTCCAATCTGTGCTTTATCGCAGCAAGTATTCAACTCCAGCTAGATAGAGAAAAATAGGATCCTCTGTAGATATCTTGCAAAAAAAGCAATCTCAGGGCCAAGCTCATTAAAAACAATGATAATGGACCATTTAAATTCAAGGGCCATCTTGTTATCAAACTAACTACATGCATAGTGCTCCAACACCTTATGAGTTTGGGGGCAAAAAGGTATTTATGGGTGGTCATTCACTTAAAAAGTAAAAATTCAGGCTACCACTTCTTTTTTAAAAGATCAAATTAGTCAGGAGAAGGAGATTTTAATGCCCATTTGTAGCTGTTTAGAATTCATTGCATTTTAAGTAGATGGTCAAGCCTATTGTTGCACACTTCAGTAAGCTTTCGGGCACAGATCATTAATCAGCTGATTGCCTGTCGGTCGTAGGTGCAGGGATTTGCATCATACTCTAAACACCTTAATAGGCGGTAAAGCCATACCTTATCAATAATTTATTAAATTAAAAGGGGATTTTAAGGTCATATTTTAATAGCATGAGCTTTTTTTTTTCAGTGCCGGCCAGAATCGTCAACATCTCAAAAAACGTGTCAGTGAACGAAGGAGAGAATGTAAACCTCTTCTGTTTGGCAGTGGGTCGGCCTGAGCCCACCGTCACCTGGAAAGACCAGAAATGTAAGCTACCCCTTCTTGTTTGCTTGTCTCCAAATCCAGAGATCTCTTGTTCACAGCTTCACCTTTATCTCCCCATCTTCACATTCATCCATATCCATGTTCTGTCTTTTATAGTGGTTTTTTTTCCTCCATCCCAGAGGCTTATCAGCATTCAGCTCATGTCCATGTCTTTATCCTCCATTCAGTAAGTCATTATTCTTAAACCAAGCTATATAGTCTGTCCCCATCTTAAATTCATACTCCCGTATTTTCCCGTATGTCCCAATGTTTTGTCTCAAATAACCACACATTATACATAATCATCCCCACCGTGCCACTGTAATTATCAGCATCTGTCTTCATCCACCCTGTCAACTGGCATCATGATGTCAACTGACGCTTTCCACATCCACTTTTGGCATTAAATTAGCATATTTTTAGCATCCATCAGTGTGTGGAATCAGAACTAGTTCAGGGTGGTCAGTTTGCATGGCTTGATATGAAGTCAAATCCATTTGATTTGATCAGTGCAGCATATATTTCCTATCTGTCCCATTATTGTCTCCACTAATGTCCAAAGTCAGGCAAATAACCATTATGTAGCCTCTAGAGATAGTATGGTTTTAGGTTTTATTAGAATTGTAATGGTGGGGCTGTGTCATCTGTTTGGCACATAAAGAAAATTGCAGTGTTCTGAATATACCACTGTGCTGTGACTCAATATTCCTAAGTGCATTTTACTACAGTAATTGTTAGCATATAAGCAAAAAAGTATGTAGTTATGTAGTTTTCTAAAGCAGTGTTTGTTGTTCCTGTCAGGTTGGCTGTAATTTTGTTTTTGTTTTGTTTTTTGTGTGTGCAACCAAAATGCACCAAAATATCAAAACGGTGTTTTGTTGTCACAGACAAGTTAGCATATTATCTATATTGTGCGACATGGTGCTTTGTTGGATAATAGGACTGTACTTCGATCTGCTTGTTCATTTTCTTTATGGATTGGGATAAATTGCTTGTATACTGCAGGAGCTCTGTGACATTTGTTTATTGTAAAGTTCCAAAATATCTTAGATTGAACTTTTAAATGTGACAGATGAGTTTCATAGGCAATATAACAGATGAAAGATTTTTTTTTTTTTTACTTTAAAGTGTTGTCAAATAATGGAGTCTTTGTGAGGCTGGCATTGCTCCAGTGTCACCAAAGTCATGGTTAAAGCATTTTTACCATACAACAGTATTGGCTGAGTTTTAGCTTGACTACAACATCAACACATAAATGCACAACCTATAGTGTACTGCTGTACTTACAGACAGCTTTGAGCTTGCTCAGAGGTCTGTTCTTCCTTCTCTCTCCTTTGTTTGTCCCTGGGTTAGCTTGCTGTGCATACAATGTCCTTCTCTGCACAGTTAGTGTTTGTGAACCTTATAGTACAGTACCTCAGGCAGGGACAGGAGAGGAGAGGAGAAAAGGAAAGGATGCATGAACGCACACCTGCTGCAAACTCAACCTTACGTCACAAACTCTGTGCAGTTGTGCACTTGCAAGCCTACAGCATTTCTCCACTGTCAGCAGTAATCCTCCCTCTCTAACCGCCCCCACCATCTCACACTGCTTCGCCCCTCTTTCCCCCTATAACCCCTCAGCTTGCAGAGAAAGAGATAGGGGCTGCATTGCTATTCCATGGGAGTCTCTGCAACCAAGTAATCAGTTTCAGGAGACCAGGGGCGGTGGAGAAGAGGGGGAGTGGACGAGCCCAAAGAAACAGCAAGAAGCTGCCAGCCATCTGTCCCCATTACTCAGAAACTACATAGAGAAACTGCAGAGGTGGGGTGAGGATGGAAAATGTGTGCATCAGGAGGTAGTGGGATAGAAGGAGGTGCATCTCAGAGGTGAAACAGAAACCTGCAAAAAGTCTTCGACCCTTTTGCAACTTGTTCACAATTTCAAGAGTCCTTCCTCACAAACAGATAGTGATGCTGCTTTGCACTGTGCGCATGCACCTCCTTCATCTTCACCAAAGCACAGATACAATCTGTAACACCCATCACTCTCACTGGCATCCATCAGTTGACCCACTAAGAGACATGGCGTTCTGTCTCATTCAGTTAAATGCACCAGCACATCAGGGCCTTATCATTTGACACCCCATCCATTAAAACATACACAGGCACACAGGCTTAGCATGAATGAATGGATGCTTGTGGTGTAGGGTAGGATGAGGTACGTGCTTTTCACTAAGAATTCAGTGATATATGATAAGCATAGAGTGTATACATTTGACAGGGAGTTCATGATTTTTTAGATTGATTGGGGTTTGGGAGTTGTGACATTGTGTCGCCTCAACAACAAGCAGCTAGGATTCAAAACAGAATACAGAGGTTGGCAACAGGCAAGCAGTCAGTGGCTGCAGACAAATCCAAAAAGGAGACAGACAGACAATAAACACAAATGGAAAGGACTTATGAACAGGTAGGAACAGAGGCTTGAACACTACAGCTACAGCAGCAAGGATGATCTTGCAGACGGGTGAGGTGTGGGGTTGATGAGGTGGATCGATGAGAGAATGAATAGCAGGGAATTCTGAGGGCATCATGTCAACAGGTGAAGAGACAGTGTTGCCTGAGAGTGCTTATTATATATAGGTTATTTTCCAACTGTAAAATGTCCTGCTCAGTACACAGTACAGAATTCTTTAATAACGGGGAATGTTTTGTGCTTAAGTTAAAGGTTAAGGCTAGCAATATTTAATATTTTTGTTACTGTGAACAAATCCCATTAAAAGAACAAAGCCAACCATGCATTAGTCCATCGCTTCAGCTTTTCTATCCTTGGGCTCTCAGCCCCAAGCCTATGTATGCTGTATGCTTGAAAAACTGGTCCTGAATATACTGTTGAATTTATTTTTCAAATGGCAAATAATTTAATATAACAGATGGGTACTGTAGCGTTTAGCTAATGTTACTCAAACATGAGTAATTAATGTATTTGTTGGGAACTATTTTCAGCCATGCCATTTCAGCAATGAAGGAATATGTCACCCACTTCAACAGTTTGCTTACTGATGTGTTTTTAATATTTTTGGACAACAATGGAGGTCTGTGCACAGAGGAATAATATATATCTGACGTTAGTTCCACAGATGATAAGACTGATTTAATTTTGGTTTTGGTCTTTTCATGGGATTTCTTGACCATAAGAAAATATATTGATATATAGGTAGCATCAAAAACCCAGTATTGGCCAGGCTCGTATAGAAACAAAGGAAATGTAGCTGAGGAATGTGGAATAAGCTACGTGGATAGAAGGCCATGGATTCAGCTCAACTAACGTACATTTCAGCCCTTTACTCTTCCAAATGACAGGTTTTATAGTCTGTCAGCCTGTCCGTCTTTCTCTGTTTTAACCTGATATCAGACCTCTCTGCCTTGACGGTAGTTTTTGTAATGGAAATGGATAAGAGGAGCCGAGAAATCAAGTGCCCTGATGATCCAGTCAGGCTCAAAGTGCTCCCGGTTTCACTGTAGGGCAAGCCAGAACCCCTGACCCCCCTCCCCCTCACACATACACACTGTTCATACACCTCTCTTCTCAGGTGCAATCCAACTATCTCTGGTGGTCAGGAGTCAGGCTCCTTCAAAAGCCGTAAGTGGTTGATGGAGCAGTATTTTACAGGCCATTGTAGGAGTTCCAGGGGCCGGCTCCAGTCAGATATGATCTTCTACCAAAGTGGAGAGAGGTTTGCAATGCCGGTCCAGAGATCTCAGGGGATGGAGAGGGAGGGAAAGAAAGGGAGTGTGAAAGGGTTGCTTTGCACTGTCATATTACATCACACATAGGTGCTGGGGATGAAAGGTCCATGAAAGAACCAACCACATCAAATACCCAACTTGACATCTCCGTTTCCCTCTTTACGTTGCTATTTTCTCTTTCTCCTGTATATTTATACCTGTGTATCTCTCAGTCTCTTGCTCGGTATCTCTTGCAAATTTCTTCTGTGTCTTTAATACACTGTTTAGCGCTCGATTGCTCTCATTTTTTATTTTATAAGTCCTTTTTATTTCTTGGAAGTCATCTGTAACAGCTTTGTGTGTAATTTCTCCAGTGTTAGTTGTCTGATCTTCTATCTTTTTCTCCCCTTTCCCACTCTATACCGCCACAGCTTCTCCCCTCTGGCAAAGTTAGGTGCTCTGCCAGCAGACAGAGATGTCACAAGAGAGCTATATTTATTAAACTAATAGAATGAGTGAATAACATTGCACCCACTCCACCTCATCACCCGGCACCCACCCGCATTCGCTCGGGTGGCACAAGCAGCCATCACTGCGGTTGTCGCTCGCTGCTCAGCTTCTGGTGCAGCAGCTGCAAATAATCGTCTCCAGCTCAGTAGCCGCACTAATAATCCTCCAGTATAATCTTCAATTAGAACCGCCGCACTAATCTCTGACAGGAATAATCATGGCATTTAGTGTCTTTTTTGTGTGTGTGTTTGCGTTAGCGTTGCTCACAAAAGTGCTTAGGAGCCGTTTGTGTGTTTGTGAGGGGAAGTAAAGGTCCACTGATTGACAGTGGTTGTGTGTATGTTTAGAGGGACTTTGAAAGGGAAAAGTGAGCTGCAATTTAAGAGCTGGATTTCCTTGTTAGTGGTGAGATTATATATTATGTCGTGTTCCACAGTCTGACTTCTTTAATGGGGTAAAGGGGAGAAAAAAAGGCCTAATGGTTTTGGAGGTTGTGAGACAGCTGGCTGCTAAGACTTAGAGGGAGGAGGGGGTGCACTCTCCCTCTCATTCTTCTCTCTCTGCTCTCTTTCTCGCTCTGCTACTGTCGATCCAATAACACCCCCAACATCTATTCGCTCACATGGCTTTCTGTCGCCCGAGGAAAAAGACAGAAAGTGCGAGACTGACTAATTTGGTTTTGGAGCACCTGGGAGTTTGTCAACATCAAATAACAGCCAAATATTCTTCTCACTAGTAATGTAGCAAAGAAGCCGTCAGCCCCAGTGTGTCCACCACTTGGAAGCAAAGCTTACAATTTCCCCTGACACTATAAAAGCAATGGTGTCACTGCTGTCAAATCATGTTTACTTACTTTGTATGTATACAAACATTCACCATTTAACCCATTATGTTACTGAATAAACCAGCTTGAAGCTCTTAGTTTGGATCCTGAGACAAATATTCAAATATAAGTTTTGATTTTTAAGAAAGATACCAACTTTGATATTGCGATGGGCTGGCGACCTCTCCAGGGTGTACCCCGCCTTTCACCCAAAGTCAGCTGGGATTGGCTCCAGCACCCCGCGACCCTGTACGCAGGATAAGCAGTTGACCATGGATGGATGGACCAACTTTGATATTAGAGGATTTTAAAATCCAATATTCCCATATATCGGTCAATTTTATTTTTATTTTCTTCTTCTTTTCGGTCACACATAACATAAACAAAGATTATCACTAACATGTGTTATATTATACATTATACATATTATTATACATATACATTTTCCAGAATACTAAGTAAATATGCATCATTGCCTCCCATATGCTCTTAAATTATGTAAGTTAACTGTAAGTTGGGTCCGCCTGCAGCTGCATCTCAAGTAGCCTGTCAACTTGCATTTGCTATACTGTATAGTGACTTTTGACATCTTATGTCAATAGATGGGTTAGTAAGTGAAGGGGAATTCCTAGACATCACAGAGATCAAGAGGCAGCAGGCCGAGGACTACGAATGCATCACCAACAACGGAGTGGCTCCTCCCGATCAGCGCAAGGTCAAGGTCACGGTCAACTGTAAGTATCTCACTGTGATAATTCAACTCAAGCTGGACCTCACATGTTATAGCCCAATGACATATTAATGATATATGTAAATGCTGTAGATACATTATTATGTATGAATTCATACATCTTAATTTTGTTCTCTCCAGGGGTTTTATTATTTGCAATTGGCCTGACCTGACTCAAATTCTCGGCAAAAGCAGATGTGTACTAATTGCTGAATTCCCTCATTCCTTTTGTCTATTCTTTCCTTCCCTGTTTTCTCTGCCAGACCCTCCCATGATCACAGACATGAAAAACATGCCAGCCCATTTGGGTAAGACGGCCATCTTGCGCTGTGAAGCCATGGCAGTCCCACCAGCTGCCTTTGAGTGGTACAGAGATGACCACAGGTGAGACCACTAAAGAGTTCAGTGCTTTTATTTTATGTTTTTTTACCATGACTACACTAAGCCAGCTTAATTTAAAATGCATGTTTCTCTCTCAATGGCCTTTGGGCCTCACTAAGCACATATTTCTCACACCCAAAATGAATCTTTTCAGTGCTGAAAACTGATGTTTGGAAACAATGATTGTCACAGTTGGGGGCTGAAGTAGTGAAGTTAAAAAGACAACTTTTCCACTAACCTATTTTGTGAGCACTCATTTTAAATGTCAGTAGAGCCAATCACATAGGTGTCAGCATTAACCTATATTTTAAATTTGTGACACTGACATTGATTGGCCAAGCAGCTTAACATGTAGCTTTTATGTGCCTCAAACTAATTACTGTTTTAACCCACATTGTTGTCTGACAACAGAAACAGAAAGTAATAAGAACAGTTAAATCGTGAGTTCGGCAATATTAAAACACAGTATATAATAGGTTATCCAAAAGGAAGAAACTGAACAGAGATGTAACCACGCACTATAAACGAGCTGTATCTGTCTCTCTTCTTAAACATTTTGTTGTTTAAGAAGAATCAAAGGACAGGGTGCTGGTCATTTTCTCACATAAACAGCATTTTCAGATTTAGCCAGCTTGCTTTGGACTTTGTCTTGGCTGCCTTACGTTCGCCCAACATTTGACATTAGTATAGGTCTGAGATCACCGTGTATGTTTTTGCCATCTCTGGAGATATATTAGATACATAAGCTGTCCAACTAAGATTGTAAAAGGTCCCAGAGAGCGTTTTAAGAGTTAGGTTGATTTGGCATCAGGCAGAGCAAGATAAGCCTTTACAGTCCAGAAAGAGCTGTTAATAGAGTATAATAGGCCCCAGCAGGAGGTCTCTGTTATTTATGGACTGTTAGATTTCACTATTAGTATAAGGTAAGACAGAGCCGATGTGTGGAGGGGGACTGTGTTGCTTGGTTGTCTCTAGAGAGATGGAGAAAAAAGCCTCTTATGTGGGCTGAGTCACAAGGTGTGATGTTATGTTGTGTTATCTCTCTTTTTCTGTCACACGCTTTTTCTTCCTGTTTCCTTCCTTCGCTTTGGCTCCCCCACCACCACCACCCAGGCCAGTAGAGAGTGACAACACCCTGAGGATCAAAAACGAGAGGACGCGCTCGCTGTTGCTGTTCACCAACGTGACAGAGAAACACTTTGGGAACTACACCTGCTTTGCCTCAAACCGTCTGGGGGCTTCCAACGCCAGCATGCTGCTGTTTCGTAAGTTATCACACAGAACTACATGCACGTGCATGCTCACAATGGCACGGTGTACACATGAATGCAAAACCCAAACTTTCACAAATATAAGTAAGCTCACATTTACGTGCGAGAGTTTGAACAGACGTGACACTGTACCTCAAACTCTACATATGCATTGACACACTGTTTTTCCCTCTTTGCCTCTGCTCATTTTTGCTCTGCACACAGCACAGCATTTTCTCAGCCCTCTTCTCCCTCCTTCTCCCCATTTTTGTTATTCTCCGCCCCATTAAAGCTTTGCTTGCCTATATTACCGTCTCTCTCTCTCATTCGTTCACGCTCTCACCCTCCATCTCTCGTTCATACACATTCCTGCATGCACACACGCAGACTGTCGCTCTGCTCTGTCCCGTTATGCAAGAAGTTGTCATTTCACTCCAAGCCCAATTCACATTAACCGTCCCCAATGAGCGATTTCCTACCCTTCCATTTCCCGTCACCCTCCCTCCCCCTTTTTAGTGCATTTGGCATTACCATCTTAAGTGAGTCCTTCATCTATCCCCTTTCTTCTTTCATTCCTTTACCCATTATCTCAGCCAGTCTCTCTTCAATGACTCACTCCCCCGTCAGACCCATACATCTTCCTGCTCTCTTTTTCCACCACCGCTGCCACTTCTGTCAGGCTATCTCTCCATCATCTGTCCTTCTGCCTCCTCTTTCCTTAATCTCTTCCTGCCATCATTAGAACACAACAAACCCCTTTCACTTCTGGACCTGGCATGGAAAATCAGACCATAATCGGATACTTTTGTGGCATTTCTATTCATATGCTTTCCCTCATTTTGTTTCCCTACTTTTGTACCTCATTGTTCACCATTTTAAAAGGGGCTATATGTAGCATTTTAACATCAACAACCCAGTAGCACATCAAAATTGGCACATTATTGTAATTACCCTCAACCAATGAGCCCATTGCTGAGACCACTGGCAGCCTGTACTAGCTTCCACTCTACACTGTCACATTATAAGCAACCAGGTTACATTTTGGAAATCTAATAGACAGGCTAATGGCACAAAACAGGAAGAGAGAAGGTTAAGTTAGAAATAACACCATATTACTATTTTAAATATGTTTTAATGGTATACAGTAATCATTTGTTAATTAATTTGCCGTATGTCTAGTGGCATTCTTTGTTTAACTGTACACATTTGTCCTTTTTCCCCTCCCTCCTCTCTTCTTTCGGCCATTCTATTTTCATCCAGGACCGGGGGCCATACAGGGGCGAGGGACCGGTTTACATGCAGGAATGAGTGTCAGCCTGTGTTTTTGGGTTCCCTCTCTACCGTTCTTCTGATGAAGGTGTAAGGACCGAGCTCCACCTGGAATTGTCCCTAGACGTCCCTGAAAGCCCTGTCTGCCCCTCCCTCCCTCTCTTCCCCTTTACGGAAGGAAGAAGGGAATTAAATTCTTTAATTACAAACCCATCACTGTGAACAAAAAGAATATGCATTAATCCAGGAGCCATTGAATCATTGCATAAAACCCACAGCCACATCACACCCCACCCCCCAAAACCCCAGCACCCTCAATTCAATTTCGAGGTCAAATCATTGTCATCAACTCTTCCTTCCTCTCTTACACACAGTCTGTCTCCCAGAATACCTTGCAGATGATGCAGTCTGACTTGGTACTTCCCTCTTCACCTTGTTTTCCCCTCATTATTACCATTGGGCTAATATTGATAGAGTGTACATTAAAGATTATTGTGTCAGTGATCAATGAGAAAATAGATAATCTAACAACTGGATGATCATTTATGTAATATACTACATAGACTAATGACTGACCTACAATGTTTGCCTTATGAAAATGATAGATAAGATCACAATATTATGGTGGATATTTATGGAAACTATAGTTATAATGTGGCATTGACGGTCATGTGACCTTTTGAAAATTGTCCAATTGGTGGCCATGTGAAGTGTCACTCTTTGATCACACACACACACGCACACACACACACACACACACACACACATACACATATGGCTTTTTGATTTTAACTGTGTAGCAGTGAAGCTGCTATGAATGATGTCAAAATGTATAAAAAAGGGTGGGTGGTGATGGCGTCAGTCTCAACTACCCCTTTATGTAATTCGGGGGGTTTATACCAAGGTTTCGCATGTAGACCCCCTCACTACCCAAACCTTTTTTAGCCTCCCCACCCTGCGCCTCTGTTCAATGTGCTCTGTCTAGTCGACCTTCGCATCGCTATAGTGTTCTCTGCTCCGTGTCACCCCCTACCCCCGTCTTCCTCCCCAGTGTAAATATATGCAGTACAGAGGCCACGTCGGCGACCTCAAGTTGCTTGGCGCCCAACGACATCTCACATCAGCCTCGACTACGCTCCAGTTTTCTGAAGCAGCAAGAGACTGTCCAGGGACAACAATATCTTCTGTTTCAAAGCTGTGGCTCCATCCTCTTTGTCGCTTGTTGATAGCATGTACCGGTTAGAGATGTTCCTGTTGTGAGTCCATTCTCCCTACCCTACCTCCCCTCCCTCCCTGCACTGTGTCTGTTCCTCTGCAAGGTTACCTGCTTTTACTTTTTTGGTGTTAATAATAGTACAGATGATGATGATGTTAATAAGTATTTGAATAACAATGAATAGTAATTCCATGTGAGAAAAAAAACAAAAGCTGATGGTAATGAGCCGTGCGTGGGAAAATAATTTTTGTACTTTACTCTGAGAAGTCACACACATTGAACGACTACAATGAAAAACAAACAAAAAAAACATGTAAAGTTTTCGAAGTGATGTGCTCTATTTTGCCATGACAAGCTTTTTAAAAACGCATTTGAAACAGTCTGAGGGATTATTTCAGAAGCAGTGAATGATGATGTAATTTATAATTTGTAACAGTTTATGTATTGGACTCTTTTCGTCATGCTGTTAACTGCATCATGCACACATTTACAGCATATTTGTTCACTTATCATAGTGTGTCTCTCTCCGATCAGCTAGATAAATGATTTGGATCCATGTCAGTTGTGGCTATAAGTCGGTTCTTGTTCATCCAGACCGCAGGGAGATAAAGATGTAATTAGCCATTACCTGTGGCTGGCTAAGTGGAGGAGCCTGGGCTCCACCTGTCCCTCCTGCCAGCCAGTGATGGCCCCCATAAATCAAGCTCAATCCTGCCACTGACAGGAATCCTCTTCAAGGACAACCCCGCTTTGGTGCGCCAGTCCTCCCTCCAATGTGTACCTGCGACATGCAGGCATGGGCACTACAAAACCCCCATGGCACAATTATCCATCCAGTTCCCCGCACAGCACAAACAGTGGGAGGTAAGCCCATATTTCAATACGGTGGCACTAGTTTCTCCGCTGAAACACTGTCCATTCACATGCAGCGACTATATGCAAATTTGCCATAACAAGCCTGCACGGAGAGATGAGTTTGCCCCGGCTGAACCCTGACTACAGCGACCTTAAAGGGGAATTACCCAGTATTGAATCAATTGTCTGAATGTGTTATGTTTGATTTTGTTTCAAACCAGCAATAACCCCTAACTCTACTGTGCAAGAGGTGTCAGATATGGTTAAAGCTGAGGTGTAATATCTGAAAAGTTTCCATTAACAAGGTATATCAAATAGGTCTGTTGTTGTACTTTTACTGTGTACAGTACTCTGAAATGATTGTGAAGCTCTGTTTAAATGGCCCTTAATCTAAAACACTACATGTTGTACTCAAAAAGTCTCTCTGCTGTGTAGTCGGGTTGTATGTCTGACAGAACACACACTGTTTGTGCATGCATCTTGTTGCTCCAAAAATAATAACTGATTACATTTCAAGCACAAGAGCATGTCATTTGGTCAGTGCTTCGTTTTTTCTGTCTCATTCACGTTTTCGTCCCCTCACTCTCTCAGTCTTTCATGTTGTTTTTCTTTCTTTCTTCTTGTTTTTTTTCTCACGTACTGTTCCATGTCAGCATCCCACTGGATTTGTCAGTGGCATGAAACATCTGTATGTACATAAACTGTCCTTGATGAAGAAAAAGAACAAAAAACTACAGAAAACATCAACAAAAAAAATAACATGGACAAAAAATAACATATTGTCATGTTTGTCAATGTGGGTTTGAAAAAAGCACGTCAATGTTCGTGTATGGGTGGATTTTGAAAAAAAAACAAGCTAACATTGTATGTTGTGTTCAGGTTTATGGGTAAAGGGTCCAGATGGAGGGTTATTCGGGCAATATCACTTGAAACCATGGAGTGGTCATAAACAAAATGTGAGCTTTTGTACCAACAAACAGCAAAAGAACATGTTTTCATGAGTCATGATGTATGTAAATGAGTCACACTTCTGGTGCGAGAGAGGAGGACTGGAGAGGGTGTGGGCAAGGAGGCAGCAGATCCCCTGGGTGCACAATTGGAGGGTAGATGAGGATACTTTTCAGAGAGCACCCAGCTCGACGGGTCTGTGGGAGGATACCCTGACAAAGCAAATCCAAAAGCTGAGAGCCAGAGGGAGATGGGATGACACTAACCAGACAGTGAACTCTCCATTTAGGGGAAGAAGACAGACAGGCGCTCATATTGCATTTCCAAGCTCGGGTGCTGTGGTCTTTCCCATGGGAAGGTGTACCACACACTATTTATGGTTGTGCTATGTAATATGAATAGCATTAACATAGCCTTGATCACAAACACAGCCTGGCCTACTTCAAGTGTATAAATAACACCCCGACTGGGGTTCAATGAGTTTACAGTGATATAAACAAGACGTTTGCTCGGCCCCTAATTACATTTGGCGCACCCTGATGAGAAAGTGTTGATTGGCTCCTGCAGCTGAAGGTTATGATGATCTGTTTACAGAACCGTTGTTAATAAGTTGCCATGAAGTTGTTTTTTAGAGCTCACAAAACAAGGCATAGTAGTAGTTCAGACTACATAGCATTGTATTGCACTTGTACTTTGTATGGCACATGTACTTTTGTTTGTTTTTTGTTGATGCTAAGATTTAATCAGTGCACATGTTGTGGCTGGAAAAGGAGTTTAAGTTGTACAGTTGTAAATGAAAAGCACTTTTTTGTCAGTGCGGTGTTATGACATGGATTTTAGGAATAGGGTTTGTAAAATACTTTGAAATACATTAAACCGTTTCGGAGGACAGTGCCTTTCCTGAGAAGAGTCAGGTAATGAAGCTCTTTAGTGCTCTTCAGATATGGTACATCGTTTCTGAACTAATGCAGTGATATATTCAAATAATTACGAGGCTTTAAAGCCAAGACTATAGAATAGTAAAAGAAGTGAAAGCCTGTGTAAGGTTAGAATGTACTGCTTCCTTGTTCTATATGCGGTAGACTCAGGTTGGAGCCTTTCTTACAACACCCACCCTACATAGAACAGATCCTGTACAGACTATCAATTCAGAATGCAATGGTTAATCAATACATTTGACTGAATGGCTTTGGAATAGAGCAATTTATCCCCGGCCTGCCTTACCAGGTCCCCAGAAGCTGAATTGATCAAGTGTCTATAGACCAGCCTCAGAACAGAGAGCATAATTCATCATGCCTGATACAAGACACCCCTAATTGTGCATCGATTTTAAGCCCTTCTCTGAAACTATTTGGGCAAGCTGTAATGTCAGCTCAGTAAACTATGTGTTCAGAGCTCCAGTTCAGATCCAGGGAATGAAGAATTAATAATTAGTTGTTGTTTTTTCTCAAGTCAGTCACGGCTGGTATTTGTTGTTTGTTTTTCTATATAATATAGTATTAACCATACATGCTCCCTGGGCATTTACACTGAATGTACAATTTGGTAGGTGCTGCAGTGTTACATTATATTTTATTAGTACTGTGTATATAGAGGCAGATGTCTGGTAGTGATGTTATGTTCGAGAACGATACAATTCTTTTCAACGGCTCTTTGGAGTCCTACTTGGTGATAGCAGTTATTTTTATCATTGTGCCTGCCCTAAATCTACTCCCCATGAACAGTGTACCAGTAGCAACTACCACTGTAGTCACAAACTGTCTGTGACTCACGGGGCGATAGTGGGTCCACTTGATTACTATCCCAGCATACTCTGGTGCTACATCAGCTGGGTGAAGTTAAAAAGTTTTCCAATATTAAGTGTTGCATGAATTGCATTCAAAGCAAGGCAACTTTATTTACAACAACTGACAAAGGAGAGGGATATGGCATCACTTTGTGTAATGTTTACAATGCAGATCCAAATCCTTACCTTGTCATTATCCTAGTGATTATTTCTCAGATAAACCTAGTAACCCCCGCTCCCTAAAAAAAAGAGAACGATGAGCCGTTCTTTTTAATGGCTCATCAACCATACGATCAGGCTCCCTTCAAAGAGCCATAACTAATGTCTGGATGTAAAATACACAGACATAAGGTGTGAGTGTTTGATACAATAGTAAGAAATTATTTGCAACAGATTATAACTTTGCAGACGTTGCAGGTCCAGAGTATACCAATAGGATATGCAACGCAGAGTGACAATTATATATGAATGATTATTATTGTTCTAAATCCACTGCTAATATACTTTACAGCAAAGCACGCCTAATTCCTATATATTATCCTAATTATCCATTGTTTACCAACTATCTACAGGCTCATTCAGATCTCATGGGCAAAGTCAATGTGGCAAGTCTATTAAGGCCCAGTACTTTTCCATTACCACAGCTAATGAGTGCATTAGTATACAAAATGCTAGATGGGAGGATGACAAGGAAAGTCTCCATAACAGACAGCACAAGCACACTTAAGGCGTATGAAATGGTATAAGTTATTGTTCAAGTCACCAGACAGATGTAATTTTAGATTAGGATTAGTGTTCTGCTTACGAACGATAGATAGATAGATAGATAGATAGATAGATAGATAGATAGATAGATAGATAGATAGATAGATAGATAGATAGATAGATAGATAGATAGATAGATAGATAGATAGATAGATAGATAGATAGATAGATAGATAGATAGATAGATAGATAGATAGATAGATAGATAGATAGATAGATAGATAGATAGATAGATAGATAGATAGATAGATAGATAGATAGAAAAAGTGTTTAGTGTTAGTAATTAGCTGAGAGTAGTTAAATAGAATCCTTATGCACCTTATCCATATCATTCATTTAGGTCTTATATTTAAAACCTCAGCTTGCAGCAATGATGTTGGGCCACAGAGCTGCCAGCCTCGCCCTCTTCCTCACTGCAACCACAGATGGCGTCTTGTCAATCACTCACCTCTCTAAGAGCAGGAGCGTCTGGCTAATTAACAGCATGCTCTACTCCACCAGTTGAGCAACATTCGCACGGACCAAGCAACACAATGGAGGCATCTCGCCCACCACATCTCCCCTAGTCATTAAGTCGCCCACCTCACATCTCCAACATAGAAAGAGTCCCATTACTTGGCCTCTCTGATTCACCAGCCTACGCCTGGCATTTTCCTTGTCAATCAGCCAAGGGGTAAATATTGGTTGTGGTGCTGAGAACTGACAGTGGAAACTTAGATTTCTTTCTCAAGTGACAGTGCAGACTGGTGTTGTTGTGCAGATTTATATTGCAGTTATGAAATGTGTAGGGATACTGTGCTGCGGTGAAGTCACTGATGTAGGCTTTGAGTGTCTTAATGCTGTGTACGGTGCGCTTGAGGCTGGGATACATGACAAGATGTATGATAGAGGCTGGTCGTGTGCTGGGTGCCTCAAGATGGCAATAACAGTGAACAGACTGCAGGAACCCTCACTGCAGAGTAATGGAAAATGTCTAATTTGGAAACTAAGAACAACTTTTACCTGAAGAAAACCCACCGTATATAAGTGAGGGAATGAGCTGGCTTAGGTAAGTGTCGAATGTGAAACCCATCTCTCTCTCTCTCTCTCTCTCTCTCTCTCTGTCTCTCTCTTTCTCTCTCTCTCTCTTTCTCTCAACACACACACACACACATATAGTTTCTTTTGTTCTTCCTGTCCTCCTTTTCTTTTTGTGTGAAGACAACCCATAAAAAGTTCTGCCCTCCCACCCTCTGTACTCAGGAGGGCTTAGCATCTAGCATCTAACAGGTACATCTATGTGTGTGTGTGTGTGTGTGTGTGTGTGTGTGTGTGTGTGTGTGTGTGTGTGTGTGTGTGTGTGTGTGTGTGTGTGTGTGTATTCTCTGAGCTGCACAGGGCAGGCATGTTTGGTCCATTATAACACAGATGGGCATTTGTTACATTTCTCAAAATCTCATCACTGTAAAAACAACGACAACATTTTTCTAACACCCGACAGATGTCCAGTGCTGTGAAGCGATGATTGTACTTCTTTTTTATTTGTTTAGCTGTTGAACTTGTCTTCTTTTACTTTTATTTCGTGGGTGTGTCTTTTTTTTTTTCAAAATCCATCAAGTGGAGTTAAAAATCATATCAAGTGTTGAGGGAGACAAAAAAAAATAAATATCAGTTTTGTTTTTAACAGAACTCACTGTGTGTGATTTGTTGCTGGAAGCGGGGCTCTCTCTGTTGCCCCTGTGGTTGGAAACGAGGTGAGGCCAGGCGAGTTCAGCTTGCTTTTTGCTTCCTGCTGACCTAAGAGCCTCTGCTTTTGTTGTGTTTGCAGGTTTGTCGCCAAGGTTTTTAATTAGAACGTCTAAATGTTCGGTTTGATGAGACACTGTCAGGATAAATCACATGCGAACAAATGTTTTAATGTTATTAGTGGGTGATAACTTCCTAACAGAAATTATCCACCAATCATTAATATGAAAATGAGTCCATTTTGATTAAAACTGGCTGTTGCCGTGTGATTTGTGTTCATTTCTGGGTGGGTTGCAGAAATTAGAGACCTCACACACTTGTCCATCCCCTGTCAATGACAAACATCTGTGTCTCCTCATCCTCAACTTCAACACAACTCCACAAGTTTAGTCGTTTATTGTCAAACAATGTGATGATGGATTTTGGGAGCTAATCAGCTCTAATTGTAATTAAAAAAATGTAACCAAAATTCTCTTTATTTAAATCTGTCTAGGGAGTATGAATCTATTTAGCCTTGATAGGAAATCAACACAACACAATCAAGCTGTATTATATTCCAGTGTGTGTGAAACAACACAAATAACAATAGATTTATATTAAATATAACACTATATATTAGCCCATGCAGGTTCTTTAAATGTGTTATTTGATACTAAATAAGGCTGGTATACAATAGAAGGGATATTCAAGGATAGGAAGGTTTTGAAAAGGTGATACTGACTTTTGCTAACTATGACAAAAATGAAGAAGAATTGCCATTTTAAAGGACAATGTGAATCTGAAAAGTAAAAGGTCATTGAGTAATACAAGTAATGTGATGATTACTTCACAAAGCTGACATTTTTGGCTTTTGAATTCACTTTGTGTGTAATGCTCTTATTTGAAAATTATGTGACTTTACTGTTAAAGTTGGGTCACATCTGTCACTGTTTTTAAGTTCCTTGACTTACAAAAAGTAAATTATGCGGCGCGGTGGTGCAGTGGTTAGCACTGTCGCCTCACAGCAAGAAGGTCGTTTGCAGAGTTTGCATGTTCCCCCCGTGTCCACGTGGGTTCTCTCTGAGTGCTCCGGCTTCCTCCCACCGTCCAAAGACATGCAGGCTAGGTTAATTGGTGTCTCTAAATTGCCCTTAGGTGTGAGTGTGAGTGGTTGGTTGTCTGTCTATGTGTGGCCCCACGATGGACTGGCGACCTGTCCAGGGTGTACCCCGCCTTTCACCCAATGTCGCTACCCTGTACACAGGATAAGCGGTTGATGATGGAAGGATGGATGGAATACCCCTTTCAGTAATTGCAAATAAAATGATTTTACAGAGTATCAACTCTGTAGTTTTCAATTTACAGTGGCAAATTTTAGGCAGACTTTAGTCCTCAAGTTGAACACATATATAAATAAACTTGTATTTTAGGGCATGTTTTAAAAGAATACTTCATTAAATAAGCACTTGTTTCTCAGATAACTGACTGTAAATGTAAACCGTCAGTGACCTATGGCTTTTAGCAAAAACATTACATTATTTCCTTTGGTAATATGTAATTATTTAAATTGAAAATAAATTCTTACAAATCTTTTATGATTTGAAGGGCCTTGGCAATGCTGTAGAGGCAAACAGAAACCTGTAGAAAAGCCTGCAGAGTAATGGCAGCGCCGCTTGCTTACTGTTGCACGGTGGTTTTTGTCAGCGTGCAGACAGAGAGCCTATTTGTTTGCCAAGACACTGACATATGTAGTTTCTTCACCCCAACAAGCCTCTGAGATTCAGGTTTCTGTTGAAGAATGACCTATTAATGAACCATCAACTCTAACCATAGAGAACAAAAAAACAAGCTGACACCATCACATTTTTAAGCACAGCGAGCTTCAGACTTCAGTGCCTGAGAAATCATTTTACCACTCAAGCTTGGAGTGGGGAACAACAGCAGCATGGCAAAACTGACTCTCCTGTTTTTGCTTCTTTTGTTGGCAGGCCAAGTACCAGGTCAGTCTGAATTCAAGTCAGTCATGTTATAAAGTGCGTTGGTTTTGCATAACATTTAATCTGTTATTTTAGAATGAATCTCTTAAGTTGATGCAACAAGGCACGATATTAAGTAACTTGCGCTACACCTTCCATGGATGAAAAAATTATTGAATTAGTGCAAAAATCTTGCATCTGCCCTTCCTTTAGTGAATTAAAGCAGAAGATATAGGGATGCAACCTGTTGTTTGGGCCATCATTTTTGTGTTCACTGGTCGTCTTTGTCATCTACACTCCAGTTGTGTGCGACTGAGTGCTTTGCTTATCTTATCTGCAGTTTTTCATCATCACACTTAATAATCACTTCATCACACTTAGCTAGACAAGCAGTCACTACAATCAAACAGCTATTCCAAAGCTTTTGAAATCTTTTGTACTCAAGTGTGTCTGCATAAGTCTTTGCTGAAAAAACGAGGTTTTAAAAAACAGCATTTGTTGTTGGGTTAAGTTTATCATATTGGGAGCCATTCAATAAAGATTTGGTGCATTGTAAAACCTACAGTTTTGTTCTTCTAGTTGTTGCTTCTGATCATCTTTGTCTGGCAAGCTGTCACCCAGGCATATTTAACACACATTTAAAGTATTTGTAGTTGACCCACAGGTCTGCTCTGCACTTTTTAAAAGTTTATTGTATGACATATTGTATTAATGGCTCTGTCTTTAGCCCTGACAGCGACCCAAGAGGGACTGAGGGTCAGACAGAACCCTCCCTCGGTCAATGTGATGCGGGGTGAAACGGCAACCCTGTCCTGTCATTTCAAAGTCGAATCCCTCAAGTACGGGGTTCAGTGGTTCAAAATGAAGGCAGAAAAGCAGCTCATCCCAAAGTCATCCAGGCAGATTGTTGTGGAGAAGAATCAAACCTCCACTCTGGTGATTACTGAGGTAGCACTGGAGGATTCTGGGTGGTATTACTGCGAGGTGAACGTCCTGCAGAAAGAGCCAGAGTGGGGCAATGGCACCGAGCTTGTCGTCTTGGGTGAGAAACAAATTGCTTGTTTCAGAAATTCATTAGGGTTGCTGTGCTGGGGGGGTGTTGCCATGCTGGTAATTATGTCTCATTTGTTGGCTTTTGTACACCAGAGCCACAGCGTTTTGTGTAAGGCAGAGTTTAGTGTAAGGCAGTATAAGCGCCGGTGTGGACCATGCATCGCCATAAAAGGAAGAGCCATGCTCAATCTATAAAAATTCAAGTCATGTGAAATTCCCTTTAGAGTTCATCTTTTTGCCTGAACAGTTTCATGACAGATCTAGAAATAATCACCCGGCAGCATGCGCAGTGCCTTGTATCGATCTTGCCCAGGGAATTGAAACTCACCAAAAAACAAGGCAGAGAGGGATGGCCAAATTATTATGTGGAAATCCTTTATGGGAAGAAAAGCTTTCTTTTGATTTTCTCTGGATGCAAAGTTGCCTTCACCAAATATTAATAAATATGTTTATAAAATTATATATATTAAATTTATATTTTGTATTACTTACCAATTTTACTCCTTGTTTAATTGTTTTATTTGTATAGTTTTTATTAAGATTCACTCTATTTTATTCAGTTTTCTTTCTTTCTTTTTTCAATAAATTTTATAGTAATTGATTTTTTATTTGTTGTAGGTAAAACATTTTGTAACGTTTGTCTCTAATGAAGGAGTGCAAATGGTATAGATATTACTAGGTAATAGAAGAGGTATTAGGAGAAATAGTAGTGGTGATAATAAATCATTCAGAGTTGCAATTTAGAAGAATAGGTTTCATTTATGCAGGGTTTTAATTTGTCATAAAGCACGTTTTCATTTTTATATGTTGTATTTTACGACATATTCCTTGATATCTCAGAAGGTCTTACCAATTACCATTTACCAATGTGCGTTATGTGCACCATATGTACATACTTTCATTTGTGTATTCTTATACTTCATCAATATATTTATTCTTAATTCATTTCTAAATACATTTATACAACAAATACAATACAGTGACGTACATTTTTAGTACGGCTACATTTGATTGTATTACTGTCCTATTTTTTCTTGCTGTAATTATTAGTTTCTGCTGCAATTACCCAATTTCACAGTCTGAATTATCTCTCTGATTAGTTTACTTTGTTTTATATCCCTTTTCCACTGCTAGCACCACCATCTGTACCCAAAATTTACCTCCAGATTCCCTCAGACCCACAGACTGGTCAGTGGGCTCTCCTCTGTTTCACTGGAGGATTCCACCCCAGTGAGCTCACCCTCACCTTGACCTACCAGGGCGCAGCATCCGATATCGATCATCTGTCAGTCACCAATTGTACCCTTCCTGCAATCAGCTCTCATGGTAACCTGTCTGAATACTGGGCTGATGGAGCCCTGCTGTTCTCAGATTGGTTAGTGAACTCCATGCCTCTGAGACAGCCAAAGTGTGTCCAGATGATGGACAACCACAGCCGAGAAGTGTACCTCTTCAGTGTGTTTTTACTCCCACTGAAACAGTCTTTGGACACAGGAATCACCTTCACATGTGGGGTGCAGGACCACCCTGCCATGAGCATGGCTCTGACTGCCTCTTTCACTTGGGGTAAATAAAAAATCTATTTATTTTCCAAATATCATATTTTATGAATTATAAATCTGTCTTGGAGGGACTAGAGCCACTAGTTATGTACCAGTTTAAATTCCCATTAGTAACTTTTATTTTAGTGATATTCTAAATGTTCCTCAGCTTGAAAAATGGGACTTAATAATTTATTTAGCTTCTGAGAAATCGTGTTTTTTCTTCTGTCAGTTTGGCATGACAGATGGCTCTAAATATTATGATACCAACTGTTTGCTTTGGAGAAGAAGCCTGTTGGAGGTATGAATCACTGTTGGAATAAATGTAGAGCACTTGTCATTGCAATTTGGGGAAAATAACATTGCACCTAGTTGCTAAATTCACCTTACATTGATGCATAATCTGAAATATAAACTGCTGAATGCATTATCAGGTTTCTACAAAATGTAGCCTTTAGCTTCAGCCTGCAATTAGCCTGCTACAATACTCAGTGAAAGTTGACTTTCTCCCTAAACTTGCAATAACAGATTTGTATGGCTACTTTGGGCTAGCTGTAAATACTGACATATCATCAGCATTTAAAGTTGATAGCAACAGTTGCTAATTTATACATCCAGCAGTAATGGAGCAATAATAGCATTCATTTGGAGTTGTGTTTTTGGCCACTATGTACGACAAATGACAAATGTACATCCAATTCTCTTCTTTTAGCTCTGCTAAGGTCTCCACCAACTCATGAGGGATTTATCTGACCCCATGTGGCTCAACGTATCCTCTCCCTTGGCCCATATGGGGCAAGTTGAGCCAAGAGTACACTGTTTTTTGGAACGCCATGTTTTGAAAACAGTATATTTTAGATCCAAATTGATTATTCCCAGGGATGCACCACATCCTAAAATATATGTACATATTTTAGTTGGAGACGTTAATGTCATGTCCTCACTTTAAAGACACCGCAAGTAAAAACTAGCTCAACTCACCCCGCTCTCCACTAAACAGTTGGTAGTATCACGGTTTTCTGTGCAGTTTCAGTTTCAGTTCAACCAGGAGATTTGCTCAACTATCCAAACCTTGGAAGTGCTCTTCACCAAACCTTTTCATAATAAACAGCCCACTTATTTCCACTTTGCTAGTCTATAGACAAATTCCTTCCAAATAACACAGTCTGTTCTGACACAGAGTTCAGCTTCGACAGGGTCTCACACCACCAAGTCACTTGATCAGTGGCCTACTTGACTATTAATGTGGGTCAGACATTGATCATTCCAAGGAAACAGATTGCCTGCAATACTGCATACTTGAAAAATTAATGATTTTCCCAATCAATGTTTAAACACATCTCCTCCCAGGGAGGAGACGATTGTCCATTAAACAAAGCCAGTCCAGCCTTCCTGATTTAGTTCTGTCATGCTCAATAACATGATAAGTTATTGATAATCAGTGTTTGCCTTTTTTTTGGATCTACTTTGCAGATGCCTCCCCTAATGAGCTGATTGCACATCTGAATATTTTCAAGATGTGTTTCCTCTCTGCAGTGACAGTTGTGTTTTTAGTGGAAGGTGAGTAAGTAAACCTCTTAGCAAGAATTATTGGAAGTTGTTAAAAAGAAAAACATATTTAATTTATGTGATCTTGCTTTCCACAGCAGGCAAATATTTCTTTGTGCAGGAAAAATGATGTCAGCAATGTGAGTACAATATTCTCCACTGCCTTTGGCAAACACAACATGTACTACAAACACACACGCATACACGCGCACACAGGACTGTTTTTCTTATTGCCTTATCCTTGTAACCTATCACACATTGTTAGTAGAAAGTAAACACTGACGCAACAACCAATTATTGTCTTCCAGGAAACACAAAATGAAATGGGAGAAAAAAACACAAAAGGACTGCCGGGTGTTCAGTGTGACTCTTCTCAGCAGACCGACCTTGACAAACAACATCACACAAATCAAGTTGAGAGACAATGAAGGAAAAATGAGAATTCATTCTGACACAGTTAATTCTGCGATATGAGTAAATGTTGTGTATAACTCCTACTCTCTCTCATATTTGAAAGTTTCAACCATTTTAACCCTTCTGTTTTATATTATGCTTGGCTTTCACACACTGTACTGTATATCCTCTAAACATTGATGTAATGCCGATTTCTCCCTGCACATCAAAGCCGTTAATCTTTATAACTCTTGCGCTGTTGCGTGCTGACTAGCGTGTTTTTGGATTTGCTCATTGTGTCAGTGCTTGGTAGTCTGCACATCTTAGTCATTTACTCGGGTCTGTGTGTCAAAATGAATGCTTCATGCCTGATCCACCTGTCAAACAGATACAGTGATCAGCTCAACCTCCGCACAGGCCTAATTCTCACAAAACAGGATTACAGTTGATGCCAGCGCTTGCTTGTGTGATAGCATTCTTTATGTGTGCAGTGTGTGGGGTGAGATCTTGATTTACGGGTTGTAGGAAGTTTTAATTTAAATTTAGGCCTGCTCACACTGCCAAGAGCAGCTAATGTTGCCAGTAATAATGACCATTAAATTTAGAGCAAAATGATGAATCTGCAGTATAACCAGATTAGTGATGACAAAAACAAGCTTTTTTCCGCTCAATAAACATGCTATTGCTCACACTTAATCCTTATTTTTATTTTGAACTACTTTTATGAATGTCATTTTACATAGAAAAGGCATAAATATTATACAACAGGACTGAAGATCTGGTGGTTGTATCTAAAAGCAAGAACTCACATTGTATTAACGTTTGTCACACTCTCTTTCACATACAAATGAGTCCTTATCAATCCTCTTTCAAACAGACACACACATATACATACAAACACACGCACACAAGCACAGTAACCTTGTACTGGACTGATGCCCACACAAAAACAAAACAATCTTGTAGTCATAAATTGTATAAATGTATTATATATTAGTTGTTTATAAAAATAGTGCATCTGTAGTTTTTAGTTGTAGTCTTTATGTCTTCGCTTTATTTTATTCCTCTCTCATGTACACACTCTCTCTCACACACACAATCAGAATCATCTATTACCTGCCTGTTACCTTTACAAAAGAAAATAAATTACAACCTCTGTCATACAGCTTTCTAACATACATTAAGTACACGACATGGTTTAAAAATGGCCATGTATTCCATATGCCATATATGTGTAACTAAATGCTTCTAATCAAATCATAGTTTAAATATAAAATTGTATTGCCATGTAAGGCAAATACACAGATATACTATGTTCACATAAAGAACACACTGTAAATTAGCTGCATACTCTACATGTAAGCCCTGTCATTTTCAACATACTTGACTTTGAGTTTTTCACCACAACATATCACACATAATGAGCATCTTTTTACAAACAGACGACATATCCTGATCATGGTTCAAGCTGGTAGGAAAGCTTTATCTCTTATTGCTTAGAGATAACGTCTGAAGCTGTTGCTTAGATATTCGTTTTGTTGCTGTCTCTAGCGCAGCACTCCCCAACACCTGCAACTTCATAAATGGAGATCTTCTGAATTATGTTAGAAATGTTTTTCCTTTGAATGTGACAGTTCAACGTAGCCTGTCACCATGGCTTTAGACTGCATAATATCTTCTGTGGCTGGCTCAGTCTCGTTTCCAAATAGGAAGTTCATCAGACAGCTACTCAAAGCTTCCTTTCAGTCCGTTAGATAGCATTGATCTCTTCTTGTTTGTGTTCCTTATCTTTTGCAGTGTTGTTAATCCCCCCCAACAAGGCCCAGGGCATGTGGCAAGACATGCACCTGTTTAGGCGACCCTTAACCCCTTCCATCACACTACCCACAGTCCCTCTCACAGCAGAGGAGGAGAGGTAGAAAATAAGAGGGTCTAGACAAGCATTAAAAGTGCTGCAGAGCAGTGCCTTGTCTCTCCAGTCAGGACTTTTCCATGCAATAAAACCGACAATGTGTGAGACGTTATAGGGGCCAAAACATAAAGCAAACACCAGCAGTGTTCCTAAAGCCATGCCAATGGCCCGCAGGCGACGACGCCGGTCAATGTGCTGCAGCCTGGACAGAATCCTGATGAAGTTGATGTAGCAAAAACTGCAAATTAGGAATGGGATAAAGAAAAGCACCACACACAGCTCCAGACGCACAGGCAGGAGGACATTTAGCTGAGCCTGCGTGAAATTCTCGTAACACACCTTTTTCTTTTTGTCACCAGTGGCAGAGCTATCTGAGGCATTGTGGCCTGAGGTGGTATTTAGAGAGTTTTCAGAGCCAATAAAGGGCACGATGAACACAATGCTCAGGTGGACGAAGGTGAACATCCAGAAGAAGATGCTTGCGGCGACAGCATACATAGGTCGCCTTTTCAGGGTGTGCTGGATGGGGAAAGCCACGCCCAGGTAGCGCTCTACGCTGACCGCAGTCAGGAAGAAGGTGCTGTTGTAGATGGTCATGTAGAAGATGAAGCCAGACAGCGGACAGAGAGCATAGGGCATGTCCCAGAGCATGTTGTTCATCACTTCCTGCATCTTGAAAGGCAGGAAGAGGAGAAAAAGGAGGTCAGAGATGGTCAGGTTGAGGAGGAGGATATCAATCGGTGTGGGTTTCTGCCTCACTTTCTTGCAGAATGTGTAGAAGCGAGGACATTGGCGGGGAAGCCCAGCAAAAAGGTAATGATGTAGACAGACAGACACAGCCCAGTGTGGCACTCCTGCATGGTGTCCTCCGTGTAAGTCAGTCAGTGAGGGATCAAGATGTGTCACATTATGTTCTTGTGGGAATGAATACACTACAGCACAGGGAAGTTTGATCTGTAGTCAAAACCGCAGGAGACAAAGGCTTCTTACTGGGTCAACAGCCTGGAACAAACCCGGTGAGACAGCGTGGTTTTGCTGTCCCCACAGATAAACCAATGCTCATCGTTTCCTCGAGGGCTTTGAGCTCTGCTGATAAGAAAGAATGGATAGAGATTACCACACTGCTCAGCACAGTATTTCGACAGACTGTCCATTTGACACCTGGTTTAAGAGTGCACTACTATGCTTTCAATACATAACATTTTAGCCTACAAGCTGAAAGACCACAGGAAGAAGCCAGAGATAAACTAATTCCTTTTTTCTTCAATATTCCCTCTTAATTTCTTTCTATATCCCTACTTCAGCTGGAGCTGAATTATCTCTTAATGAGGAGCCATTGTTATGGTCTGGCACATGGGTTTGTGTACAAATTGTAATACTGTGTTATTGCTTCCTCCGTGTCGTAAATACAGTACAATGATGCTTTTATCATTAACTCCCAGCCCCTGTTCTCAATATATGCACAAATATTGGACATGTTGTGAAAATGATGACCCTCATAAACATAATGACTTAACTACACCAGGGAAATGAGTGTCTCAAAGCTTTAGCTGGCACAGCTTCACAACACGCTTTTGTCATCAAAACAATGGCTATATCTAATTCCTGCATCTCATTATAAAAGGAAATATAAAATAAAGACAGAAGGAAGCTGTTAGAATCTAAAAGAACATAATACACAAATAATTGTTTAAGGAACTTATCATATTAAGAAAAGCTACTTCCTTACCTTTTATGTTATGAGCAGCCTGAAGGTGTATTACAGCAGCTCGACTTTTATAGTCCAGTGACAAAGCAGGGGGAAGTTTTTTTTACTAACTTGGAATATGACCACCATTTAAGCAACTCGAAGACTTCCTCTTGTCTGCAGTTGTGGTTTTTTAGTACACATGCTTCTTGAAACGAAACTACCTAAAAAAAGAGTAAATGTGGCTTACCTTATTCTACTGCGTGTTTCTTGGTACACCCACATGTGGTGATTGCTCAACTGTTTTATTTGATCTCCTCTATTCACCAGCCTTCCTACCTCCGCCTTGCACGGCCCCCAATTTACATGATAATCTAAACATCCAGCGCAGATAATAGAAATTATTATTAGGGAGATACTGCTGCAATTTATCTCCCACGCTTGCCAAACATGGTTTCCGTGGTAACAACTGGCCTTTTTGCAATATGAGTGGTGCGGACTGTCTCTGCAAGCCTGTCTGATCATAGGTTATTAAATCATATTTAGTTATCCATGCCCACTGCTTCCACATGGATCCCTCTTTATTATGAGAAGGAGAGAAAAGGCATTTGACACAAAGGAGATGACCTGTTGTCATAGCAGTCACTTCCTTCACAACATGTGGTGAGGGCAAACAGAGGCCTGTTGTTTGGATAGCCTGATCTGTGCAAAATAAAAAAAAAAACATGACTTGTGGTTTATTCACAGCAAACTAATGAGGCTTCCTGTTGTGAGATCATTCTATATTTCTGTAGCCCACCACAGCAAAAAAAAAACCAGAGACCCCAGCACCCTTTTTGTGTTTACCATCGAATATCACAACAGCAGGGTCAAGTTTCTCTTGAACAGGTGAAAGCAGGTAGCAAACAAGCTTTTAAAGTAAAAATGACTCCGAGGTGTAGAAAGACTCCTTTTGATGTTGCTTAATGTATGTAAATCACTCTGAGGAACTTGAGTTTAATCCTTAAACACTTGATTCTCAGGTGTGAGTCTTGGGTATTTTGTTACCATTTGACATAGCTCCTTATTAGATGTTTGTCCCCTTTACCATGTCAGTCACTTTTACCCCTGTTTTTGGTCTTCTTTATCAACCTTTTGCATGCCACTGCACCACAGACAAACGCCCAAAGAGAAAATGTTTCAGGTACTGTGCTCTTGTCTGAAATTATCACATTTGTATTCCACACGTAAATGTGGACAATCATATTGTATTATGCAAGATGGTGTGTTCCACTGTGACAGCTGGTTTTACAGAATGACAATAGGGATTTTCTAAGATGCTGTTTGGGCACAATCTTTGGTCTAACACTTGGTGATATTTCATCACTGGATGACAACCTGCTTCAGTAATTAGCAAGAGGCAAAGGCAAATCAAAAGAGAAATGCAGATGGGGTCCCATTTTACTCTTTCACATTCCATATTTTACTCATCTCTTATCCTCTAAAATAATATGAAAGGTAAAATATTATTAAAGTTGTCTCCACTGCCAAAGGACGATCTTGTACATGGGGATAAATGTGTAATATAACGCATGCAACATTTCTCCATTTAGTTAATAGCTTTAACTGCAAGAAGGAATGCTGTGTAAAGAAGGAAGGAAGAGGTGGAGCAGGGCCCGTAGCCAGGATTTTAGAAATACTAAAGGATCCCCAATATCAAAATCAGACCAAATTTGGATTGTTCACTTACTGTTCAGCGAAAATATGTTCAGCTATATTTTCTGTACATTTTATTTACCAACATAAATATCTAAATGCAGTTTGATATCCTCGCTACCAGTAAAGAATACTCAGGTGGGGAAATTGACTGATTTTATTCCTACGTAAACGTAGTCAAATATAATTGTGTCACATCTAAAAATAGTGGAATCAGACTTTACACCAAAACAACATGTGTTGACATAGTAACAAGGCAGTCTAGCAGCTGTAAAATTATGATGGGAGAAGCGGAAATGTGATGTTATTAAAGAATTAAAGTTCACAGCATCAGACATCAACACAGGAAACTGCTGCTCTTTTTCCATTTCCAACTGACAGTCAACATTGGTTGAACCCAATCATCTCCCAACCTTTCACCAAGTCATTATTGTAGCCATGACGATGATAGTCATCTAACCTAAACAAAATAGTAATTTTAACCCAAGTCATGATCTTTCCTTAAACGTAACCAAGTTGTTTTTGCAACCCAGCAAAACCTTACCTAAAGCGCTGTCACATGTTTGCACATATTGTTAGCAGAGACAGAATTTGCAGTATAGCAGCTGCAGTAGCACAAACAAAGATGGAGGTTCCAGGCAGGTGTTGCAGGTATGTGTGTAAAAGGGAAAGGGATTTTCCCAGCACCATTGGACAGGTTGAGTGGTGTGAAAACAAGTCGAGAATGGCAGCAACACAGCAGCAACCCTGAGGTGCTCTGCAGAATTTGGGAAAAATTAAGTCAGACAAAGCTGATGCAACAGGAGGATATTTGTGAAAGGACACACAAAACAGTAAAAAGGAAATGGCTCGGATGCAGTACAGAGAAAAGCCTGCAGAGCAGCAGTCTGTGTGGTTACTGAAGCTGCAGGAATAGAAACATTTTACAAGCGTGGACATTTATTGGTGTGCCAATGTATCAGGCCCCAAATATCACAAACAAAATGATGCAGGTTCCTCTCTCCACATCGAAACAATCTATAAAAGCATTGATGATTTTTTCCTTTTTCAATTTTACATTGTTTTGTAAATTAGTATTTTATCTTACCAAAATATAATTGCATTAGTGAGTATTTTAAAGGAGCATTTCCATTTCAGTGTTCTGTGGAGTCTGTGGAATATTATATATATTATAATCATCAAGAACAAAATTTTATGGAAACAGCAAATTGTTATTGTGTTAATTAATAACAAACTAATAGACTGATATGAGCCATCATACTGCAGCATGATATTACCCAGAAAATAGACTGGCCATTACGGTGTCCCACTGCTTTGTGCTCACTGGGAAAGGCCACTTTAAAGTTCAATTGACATGGCTGTTAGGAACAAAGTGTCAGAGTGCTTGTGTTGCTAGAGAGCACAAACATGGGCAGCATGGACAAGAGCTGCTCTGAATGTTGTCAAGCCCTTTTGAAGAGCAGGAATGAGGAGAAAGAGGAGGTTAGAGATGATTGAGTGGTAGAATAAGTGGACATGACTGTCTGCTTTTCCTTGTTGATTTATTGTAAATGGTGTAAATGCATATAAACTCTCAGCTTCCTGAGCTCTTATTTCTTATGAGAAAGAGGAAGTAACAAAAATACCCAGGTTTCTGTTGCAGTAAGTGACAACACCTCTTTTTTCAAACTTTAAAATTTCCATCATCTGCAACTCAGTGCTGATGCTGTACTAAAGAAATATGATCCATCAGTAGGGGAAGAAGTACTCAGATCATTTACGTAAAAGTAACAATATCACAATGTAAACATACTAGTATCAGTCAAATATGCTTAAAGTATACTTTTAAAAGTGTTCATTCAGCAGAAAATAGGCCACATAACTGAATATTATTAGATTGTTAATACTGATCATCAATGTGTAAGCAGTATTTTACTGTTGTTAAGTAGTCCAGTGGTTCCCTACATACGGGTCGGGTCCTTCCAAAGGGTTAATGGAAGAGGAAAAACAAAACAAAAATTCTGCTAAACAAATTTATATTCACAGTTTTCTCTTTGCTTTTTTATTTGAACATTGGAGATTTTTATGTCTTTGGGCCTTGAACAGTTAAACTGTTGAAACCTTTGAATAGATTTAGTTTAGTGGAACTTCTAACAAATTAAAGACATCTGAAACATGGCAAGGGGCCCAACTTGACCCTGCGTTTTTGTAAGAGGTCTAAATCAAAAGGGTTGCAAACCACTGGTTAAATCTTTAACAATGCATTGTGATTATAATCTGTTTTTTATGTACCAAAACAGACTGGCTTTTGAGAGACTGCGGGAAGCTTGTGAACTGTCTTCCACAACATCAGACAATTTCATAAATCTGAAAACAGTAACATTGAATTGTAGTGGAGTAAAAGTATATAGTAATATTAAATAGAAATAGTAGAAAAAGTTCAGCAAAGTTGTACTTATGTACAGTACTTGAGTATATGTACTTGTTACACAGAATTTTCAACTTGTCAATTTCCATTGATCTGAGGCTGCATCAATTACATTATGGTGTTGATCGTTTACTGTAAGCTACATAACCCTATTTTCATAGTGGGACACAGTAGAAACAGCAAGGCTTGTCTGCTTATACAGTTAATTTGTCCAATTTCACAGTTTATCTGACCAGCATCTTGCAGTGGCAGACTCAGCTGCCTCTTATCAGCAAATTTGTTTTGGTCCAGATCAGAAGAGAAGAGAAGCATTGTCTCACACGGGACTCTGCACAGCCACAACAGGTTAGATGCAACATAAAAAGAATGATTGCCACTGAAATCTGCTTCCATATTGCCT